AATGAAAAGTTCTTAAACGTTTTATACTTATAGGCCAACGTTGGTTAACTTTAAAGGTTAATTTTTTAACGTTGAACTATTTCATGCACGAAAACCCATTTATGATGAAGATGATATGCGATATTAAACACTGATCATGTACACATCTTTTAACATTTTTACTGCTTAACGAATGTTTTTCTTACTTACTGTATAAAAAATGGTTTTAAAAATCATTTTCTGGAATAAAAAACCGTTTTTTAAAAAAAATCGGATTTTTGATGGTTTTGAGTGCCTTCTAGCGTTCATATTAATGTCCGTTCATAATTATGTCCGTTCATTTAATGTCCGTCCAAATAAGGTCCGATAAGGTACAACAAATACGAATCATATACAATTGAGAATAAATACAAACTAAAAGCAGTGGGAAAATCTGATGAACTGAAATTTAAAAAAGAAACTGAAAGCCGTTAAAAATGCACTCTTATCTTATCTCTTATCTAAATATTGATAACTGATTCTCGGAAAATCACTTAAAATCACAACAAAAAACCTGTAAAATTAATACTAAAGTAAAAAATGTAGTATGCACGTCTCTGGAATAATGGTATAACTAAATAAAATCTACAAAATATACTAAAACTAAAACTAAGCTCCGGCAGATTTAAAAAGTATATGGTTACTATCAAGGGTGTTCATACCCCCAAACCGTTCAAGGGTTTTCAATTGGGTCTGGTAGAACCCCTCTCTAGCTTCCATAGCCTTTTCTTTGTCTGCTTTACTAATATTAGGCTCAAATACTAAAGCGTCTACTATAATGACAGAAAGGTGCTTACTAAGTGAGGAATTATAGGAGGCTATGGTACTAAAATATATATATACTTTATGACTTTTGGGTAAATTTAATTTTTTTAATATCTGGTCAGACATTACCATTGTAATTTGACTTTTGAATCGTTTAATCCGTTTAATCCGTTTAATCCGTTTAATCCGTTTAATCCGTTTAATCCGTTTAATCCGTTTAATCCGTTTAATCCGTTTTGGTTGGTGGACGACAAGAAAACATTGATTTAAATACTTGTGGAATGTTTTACTCAAAAGACCATATATTCACAAATGCCTGGTTCATGATGACTTTGTGATATCTCTCAAACAAATATGCTGCTAAGACTTGTTATTACCGAGCGTGCTAAATCACTCTACAGTTCTAAAATGGCCCCCGACAGTTGAAACCGACTTCAATCGATGCATGAAGATCTGGAATTAATTTTTTATTAACTTTACAACGTAAGATAATCAAATACCACGAAAGAATATACTTGACATACGTTGCATGCCACTTTTCGCGCGCCGCACGAAACACAGAGAGCACAAAAAGAAATGACAGAAAAGTTGCACTCAATAATATTAATAATTATACGTATAACACGGCTCATTTCCTGGTATTCCTGGTATATGGTACATAATTCACAACAACAACAAAACCACTATTCATGGTATTCGTGCTAAATCACTCTACAGTCGATCTTCGGGATTGTTCTAAAATGGCCCTCGACAGTTGAAACCAACTTCAATCGATTTATTTTCGGACGCTGATTCCGAATCACCCCCATGACATAGGGTTAAAATGCTCCCCTGACGAGATATTGGCGAAAAACTGCCTCGATCACGTGATATGACCGAATAAGAAAGTAAGTCTAATTTCTCGTTAGGGTTAGGGTTTCAGCATATGCTTTTGTTAAGGATTGGGTTAGGGTTAGGGTCGGGATCAAATTAGAGGGTTAGGGTTTCAAATAGTCGTTCAGGGCCAGCTAGAGAACGGGTTGAAAAAGTCACGTGACAGTCGAGTGTAGAGTGATTAATTATCATCCGGTAACAATCGTAGCGGTTCTCGTTTATCTCATGCGCATTGTGCATTGTGGGTAAATTTACTTAGCTGACTAAAATCTGTAAAACTGCTTGTATTGCTGGGAGTGGGATGTCACGGACGGAGTTGATGAATCCGGATTTTTGGAATTGGAACCAAGTTGGAACCAGGGGACAAATAGTAATAATAAAAAGAACACACAGAATGGTTCAAAATTGGTCGGAAAGAGTTAATAATGGACCACCAACAGTGGTCCCTCTTTATTGTCGTCGATTTGATCGTTCATTTTTTCATATCATGAACAAATTTTGTTAAAAACAATCATGAGGGATCATAATAGCAGTACTACTGTAGCAACTAAGTTTAAATACCTGTTAAATAGAAGTTGGAGATTAAAAAACCACCCAAAATCATGTTTATAATTTGTCCCCATTTGGTTACAAATTTTTGAATTCATCTACTGCACTGACGTAACGGACGTAACGGAGTGAGAAATCTATGGTATGTATAGTATATATGATATTTTCCGGTTCAAATTGGAAGGGGTGTAATCCGATACATGCGCATGATACAATATAGTGTCTAATATATAGAACGCCAGTGTTATTTGTTTTACAACTTGCCGCCAGCCAGTCTGAGTCTATGCTGATAATACCTTGGCTTCTCTTGCGGGAAAAATGTGCAAATTATCAGCTCTTAGTGTCCGAGACTTTTAGTGGATATAATTCCCGGAAGGTACCTTGGCTGCTTTGGGCCGCAAATTCCCTCCAGCAAGCTGTCGGGAATTATCACGAGCGGCCCGAAGCAGCCAAGGTATTATTGTATTACTAGTGTAACCCGTGCCTTCGGCCGGGACTTTACTGTCACAGTTGCAATGTAAAAGTATACAACCGCATTATATATTTGATATCACGCATAACGCTGTCTTATGAAAGTATGAAATCTCCCTACAGATGAAACAAACCGGCCGCAAGAGTGAGCTCTAAGCTTATAGTATTACGTGGGGCTAAACTAATTACGGTACATGCTATCCTCCTCGTTCTCTCTCCCATCCATTTATGTCACATTTCTGGAACAAAATCATCAATTAAACCACTTAGGGGTCGTTCATATATTACGTAATCAGCCGAGGGGGGAGGGGGGTTTCCAAATTCTTACGGTTGATTACGGGGGGGGGGGGGGGGGGTTTCGGTCGTTGATTACGTCAAACTTTTCTTTTTTACCCTCTAGAATAATAACAATTTGACAATATTTTAATTCAAATTCCACTCAATTTCACTCTGATAGTGATAAAATTTAGAAATTGATCGAATATCCGGATATAATAGTAAGTAGTTTAGAAGGTGCTTGGCCGGATATCATAACAATGATTTCGGCTCATCATGATAGCATGATCAGGGTAGCATGAAACGTAGAGAAAAGTGTTTTCTAGGGAAAAAAAAGGGGGGGGTCAGGCCATGATTACGTAATATTGCTGTCAGGAGGGGGGGGGTTTGGGTGTTGATTACGGTTGATTACGGCAGGGGGGAGGGGGTAAAAATTGCTAAAATATTGATTACGTAATATGTGAACGACCCCTTACCACCGGCCGATTTTTATAAATTTGCTTATGGGCTTCGTCAGAGTTTTGTCAGCACTATACCGAAAAAAACCAGTCCCGTAACTATTACCGTTTTTTTGTATAACCGTTCGGACACACAGACACACAGACATTCTGGTGTTATTAAGTTGATATTTTCCACCGTGAAATATCGTGTATATGATGCGTGCAATTTGGCAGCTCTGCGCGCGCGCGCGCGCACACATATGAAGTTGGCGCCGAGAAGTGTGCGTTTAAACATATCGCCGCTTCCTGAAAGTGATTCATCTGTACACTTAAAATGTGGGGTTATAGCCTTGTTCAAACATGTAACACCTGTCATTAGAGCATTTAAAATGACCGATTGATAGAACTAAATGACATAAGGTTTAAAAGCGATGCACGGGATCATTAATTTGTCACAAACATATTCTCACGATCCTACAAAATTACATTCAAACACAGTTATGTTAGAACCGCGTCATTCCAATGAAAAGCTTACATTTAAACAATAGTATGCACTAAAAACCCGGGCATTCTCCGGTCGGATGCAAGTCGGCCAGTTATCAAGCTGTGATTTGGTACAGCTTCGGCTGGTGATACACACTCTGGCTCGTAGGACTTACCCCCCTACAGCTTATATAGTTATATAGTGCCTCGGCACAGAGTGGCTTAGGGTTACTGAAAAAGTGAAGATCAGCACCTCAGGCCCCTCAGACTCTTATGATTAGAGAATCTTAGGGAGATTTGAGGTAGTATTACCGACATACGACTGTATGACACTATAGACAGTAGTGATTAGTGACGTTAAATCATTTCAATTTTACTGAATTAGACTGGAATATCCAGTTGGGCGATCTATTGAAGTACAATGACCCTGTCTTTTTAATATCAAAATAAGTAATTTAGATTATTCAAGCTACTAAAAAAGCCTTCGATTCATTAAAATTGAGCTCATATTACACAGCTTAAGTATGAAGTGCCGAACTTACCTATTGAGTAATGAGTATTAAACCTATCAAGAAGGTTAGAAGTAGAAATATTCACGGTAATTACACAATCTGGGGACCACCTCCTTGACAATTACTTGAAAACTTATATTACAATTGTTTTTCTGTAAACGTTTAATTAACTTAAATATAGAGTGGAACTAGTATAGTTAGTTAACCTAAAATTTTATATTTATGATGACGATGTTTGTGTCATGTCATCATTTGATTTGATCTTGCAGTTGATAATGATGATAATCATTAACACTAGGTTACCAGGTAACAGGTTACCAGGTTGCCAGGCAACAGGTTACCAGATTGCCAGGTAACAGGTCACACCTAGAATAATGAGATACATTAAGGGGTCGTTCACATATTACGTAATCAGCTGAGGGGGGTTTCCAAATGCTTACGGTTGATTACGGGGGGGGGGGGGGGGGGGGGGGTTGGGTCTTGATTACGGTTGATTATGGAAGGGGGTAAAAATTGCCAAAATATTGATTACGTAATATGTGAACGACCCCTAAGAAGTCTTCATTTGTAAACCATTTCTTTTTTTCAGCCCGACAAAAAGAAACAAAAAATATCATGAAGAAGTGATATAATTTTTACTCCAATGGGTACAATCAATTTGAAATTTGAATTAAACTTTAGATCTAAAAAAGATAAAATGTTAAGAATTTTTCTTTTAAAACTACAATAAATCTTCACAATCTGTGTGATAAATAGCGTCAATCAATGACTTGAAAAAATGTAAACTATTTAAGCCTCTAGCCCGGACTTTTTAAAAAACTAGGCACAAGTTTCTCCCACAAAAACTTTATAATTACTTTCCCGCGTAAGTGCTCAGTCCACTCGAATATAATTCCCTGGCATGAAGCCAGATGTACCATTAAATCATGCCCTCCCTATACTTGACGTGGCAGTAGTGTTACATATATAGTAGTCTGATGAAAAGCTGTCAGCATTGTGTGTACAAATGTATTTAACATCGTGTTTTTGTGACCACAAGATTCAGGTTAATCTGCAGTACAGCTAGTTTCAACTGACGATGACGTGCAATAAAAGTGATTCAAATATTTTATTATAGAAATTTAACATATACAAATTGACGTGTATTAATATAAATTTGCTTAATAAATTCTCATGTTAAAATCTAAATATATATCGTTATAATTTCATTTAAAGGCTATACATTATTACATAGTCATTGCCCTCAAGCTTTCGTTACCATGGTAACACCACTACATTCCCGAATTTAAACTGACCACAATTATTTCCCTCACTATCAAAACCATTGCAGAGTACAGAGTACAGAGTACAGTCGCCACTACCTTATATGGGCATCACGTGATACCACTGTGGTCGCCCACTCCCATCAAATATTTCCTGCGTTGTACAATAGACCGTAGTCACAAATTTAGTCCCTCTCTCCTTTATCCTCATTATCAGAAGTATTACTGTAGTCACTGTAGTCTCAAAATTAGTCCCACTGTCCTTCATCCTCGCTATCAGAGGCACTACTGTAGTCACTGTGGTCTCCCACTCCCATCAGGTACTTCCTGCGCTGTAAGATGGACGCTACGTCACGGCCTCCCCACGACGCATACGTGGGCTCAGCGTTACCCTTACCCTGCTTCATAGTCTGAAATACAGGTTTGTTTAGTACTATGCCATTACACAGATGTATAGAGGCCATACTTATTTTAACTATCTATTGATATATTATCAAACATATCTGCAATTCTATAAACTTGAGAACATGATAAAATGTATAACCTAAAGATAAACCTAGAAAAACGTTATCTAAAGTATTAATAACTGAAAGTTGACCAGAAATACAAAGCCAGGTAGTTGAAGCATGCAGTATGCATATTAACATGACAATAAAGGCGTTGCAAAGTCAGTTATTCACTAGAGATGCAAGCACAGCAAGAGTAACAGAACCCAACAGCTCTGTGTTAAATTCAGTCTCGTCAGGCTGGCTAGTAATATACTGGATTATTTCAGATTCCATCGTGGAATCGGCGGATTTCACGATGGGTTGCAGATTCAGGGTTGAATTTTGGCACTTTAAAACATATCACTAGGACAATAAAAACTCCCACCTGCTGAAGTTCAATAAAAACTCTCACCTGCTGAAGTTCAATAACAACTCTCACCTGCTGAAGTTCAATAACAACTCTCACCTGCTGAAGTTCAATAAAAACTCCCACCTGCTGAAGTTCAATAACAACTGTCAACTGCTGAAGTTCAATAACAACTCTCACCTGCTGAAGTTCCACAGGTTTCAAGTTAAAGCTGCTAGATCTAATCATCTCCAGGAGAGTGTTCCGTCCGGGCGCCGTTGCAACCTCCTTAGTGCGCAGGACACGCTGTGCTTCCGTCAGTTTGGCTGGTTTGAGAACTAGCTCTGGTACTGGTGGCGGCATGAAGGGAGGCGGCACACTTGCTCGTTTAGATGGAGACTCCGCTGCGGGGAGGGAGGGGGTTATATTCAATAGGGGGAGGTAGATTTAATAGGGGAGATTCAATATTAGGTACTTCAATAGTTATTTGATTTAACAAAACGTTATAACGTTTTGTCAAAATAAAAGTGATCAAGTAAAAAATTAACATTCCTAGTAAATTAAAATGAGGTAGGATCTAACTCAATAAATATTCATAATGTATAAATACTGAAGAGTAATGAATTTTAGGTGAAGGATGATGATGTACATAGGAACGGGAACCAAACAGCCTTTGAACTGTTTACTCTATTCTAATTTTGAGATTTAAAAATGCCAAACTTTTCTCATTCTCGTCACAAAGATTGCTAATCTTGAGGGCGAAATTGGTGAGCATGAAGTGGATGTGAAACACTCACCAGGTGGGCTGGAAGGTAGAGGTCGGTTTAACATAGGTGGAGGAGGTGCCATAGGAGCAGGAGGAGCCATAGGAGCAGGGGGAGCTGGAGGACCGTGACCATGGTTACTTGGGGGAGCAGGGGGAGCAGGAGGGGCTCGAGGTGGAGAGAAGGTGTTGGTCTGGTCACTGTTAGTTGTAAAACTCGGCACACTTATCTCTATCTCTGAGAGGAACGTGTGAGAGTTCCAATATTATCTTTAATAAGCGTCTAATTATATTTATTAATATACTTTCCTGGACCGGATTCTCACAGAATCTCGATCATAATCACTCACCAGCAGGAGAAACTCTATTTACTACTACTACTCACCAGCAGGAGAAAATCTATTTACTACTACTACTCACCAGCAGGATAAAATCTATTTACTACTACTACTCACCAGCAGGAGAAAATCTATTTACTACTACTACTCACCAGCAGGAGAAAATCTATTTACTACTATTCACCAGCAGGAGAAACTCAATTAACTACTACTACTCACCATCAGTAGAAACTCTATTTACTACTACTACTCACCAGCAGGAGAAACTCTATTTACTACTACTACTCACCAGCAGGAGAAAATCTATTTACTACTATTCACCAGCAGGAGAAACTCAATTAACTACTACTACTCACCATCAGTAGAAACTCTATTTACTACTACTACTCACCAGCAGGAGAAACTCTATTTACTACTACTACTGACCAGCAGGAGAAAATCTATTTACTACTACTACTCACCAGCAGGAGAAAATCTATTTACTACTACTACTCACCAGCAGGAGAAACTCTATTTACTACTACTACTCACCAGCAGGAGAAACTCTATTTACTACTACTACTCACCAGCAGGAGAAACTCTATTTACTACTACTACTCACCAGCAGGAGAAACTCTATTTACTACTACTACTCACCATCAGGAGAAAATCTATTTACTACTATTCACCAGCAGGAGAAACTCAATTAACTACTACTACTCACCATCAGTAGAAACTCTATTTACTACTACTACTCACCAGCAGGAGAAACTCTATTTACTACTACTACTCACCAGCAGGAGAAACTCTATTAACTACTACTACTCACCAGCAGGAGATGTGATCTGGATCTGAGTGTCAGGAGGAGAAGCTATGGGAGTGCTGCATTGTCTGTAGTGGTTCTCGTTGGTCTGTCTCTCTGGTGACAAGTAGGAGTCTGTAGGCGTGGTGTTCACACTCTCTCCAGCTGTAATGTAGTGGTTACCATGGTGACATGTGGTGTTACCATGGTGACATGTGGTGTTACCATGGTGACATGTGGTGTTACCATGGTGACATGTCGTGTTACCATGGTGACATGTGGTGTTACCATGGTGACATGTGGTGTTACCAAGGTGATATGTGGTGTTACCATGGTGACATTATGTATTCCATTACCTTGGTGTAACTTGTAAACTGTTGAATTGTATGTGGTACTACTTGTTACTTGTTAGAAAAACAAGGAAATGATATTTTATTATCCATAATGATACGTTTTTAGATAACAAAGTTGAGATCATTGTGTTACCGTGACCGTGACATTATGTATTCCATTGTATGAGTTGTAACTTGAGCACATATTTTACTTTGAGATAACTAAAATTGATTGACATTATTTATCTGGGGGTTCTTTCCGAAACGATACTTAAGTCAAAAATGTTACTTAAGTAAAAAGTTAAGCAAAAAATATTTTTCATATACCACGGTAGTGGTGGTTTGACTATCGATACCACCGTTAATCCCGGAAATCTGCTCTTCTGCCATTGTGGCAAGGATTCGATTTTCAGAATCTGAAAACTTGAACTCCACCCGTTCCTGATGCGTGTTTTTTTCTTGCCCGCTCTTTCTTTCTCGTATCAGTGGACGAGTTTTGATACTTTTTTTTGACGTCTATTATAGCCGTCCTATCACCTTTCCCGTTGATCTCATCTGCGACGTGTTGCCACTTATCTCCCTTTTTCCTTTTCGTGATGAGGCTAGAAAACTTACCAAACAGTATGTTTGGCCCCTTGATGTCCTCTTGTACCAGCTGGATGAGGAGCTCCTTCTCCTCATCAGTGAAATTTCGACTCCTTTTACCGCTTTGTGACATGATAATTGACAACCTAACAAGACAGAAATGAAGAAACATGATAAACTAACAACCAGTTAGAAATCACAAGACATGACGCGTTCACTGGATCAAACCGTCAAATTGCATACAGAACGCGCAGCACGTGTGTAGAAATGGTCAGAGTTTTAGCGCGGCTTTTACACGTGTACTTAAGTGCATTTCTAAACGTGTCCTGAAAATCGACTCTAAAAATCTATCTTCTCCTACATTTTTTGAGCAATCACCCTGAAACTTTCAGGATATGTTCTAGGGATCCATTAGAAGAGAAGTATCGTGCCGAATTTTGAGATAGGCCTCAGAAAATTTTTAAATCGATTTTGAAAATCTTGGACCTCATTTTTTGACGATTTTTCCAGATTGAAAATCGCTCGCGCAATACAATTACATGTGAGCGCTGACCTTTGACCAGCGATAATTTCGGCTAGGAACAATATTTTTCCATGGGACCAAAAGCAGCTGATAGATATCACTCCCCTCTATCAGAAACAACTATAAAATCAATTTCGAGAGAATTTTGATGAAGACCCCCCCCCCCCCCCCCGGCCCCCTTAAACATTTTTTCGGAAAGGACCCCCTGGTATTTTACTATTTACTACTTATTTAAGTATTTTAACCAGGTAATTAACGAGGTGTTACCATGGTGACGTCATAATATGTGTATATTTACTTGGTAGAGGAGGTAGCGGTAGATTCCCATATTTCTTCCTGTTCAAAGTAGCCGACACTGGCATCTCCGGGGTGATGGCTCGCGCGCCCTTCAGTGTGGCGTACTGCGGCTCCAAGTCCACCATTATGTACCTCTTAGTTTTAGGGTCGTGCACTTTCTTCTTGAGGGTGGCTATCTTGGTGAGTTGGGCATCTTTGTCTGTCTTCTTGAAGGAACGTTTCCTTGATTTCTTGAACTGGTGATTCTCCTTCTCCATTAGATCTACCCAGGCAGTGAAGAAGAGAGAGGGATCAGAGTAGAGTTTCTGAAAATTGTGAAGAAAAGTTACTACACTTTAAACACATCGTTTATTTTAAAATTACACCAGAGACTGGGTTATATAGTTTTCAATCACATTTTATAAATTTATTACGGGACCCAAAATACAACGCCAAGGGAAAATTGCTATTTCCATAATCCGAGACATAATAAGATGAGCTAATGTCATACATTCGCAAGAAACCTAATTTAAGAATTCAACACTAGCACTCCTTCAGACTCAGTACACATTCCTAGATATCAATTGTAGCCTTGTTGCGTGTGTATTGGAATAGGACAAGGTCAGCAATATAACTTTGTATGGTAGCCTCCCAAGGCTGTCAAACAAGTTACGAAGCAGGAGATTAAAAATGGCGGGACACTGCATCCGACATCCTGAGCTACTTGCCAGTGATTTAGTCTTATGGGAACCTACGCACGGTAGAGCACAGCAAGGCCGACCAAGACAAAGCTACTTGTCTATGTTACTGAAGGAAGTTGGGACAAACTCTAAAGAGGAACTGCGAACCCTGATGCGGGACAGGGATATATGGAGGGGGTTTTCTGGCGTAGATCGGACTTAGCTCCGACATAGTAGTAGTGGAATACACATAAAATGTAGAGAATGTGGTGCTGGAGGAATCTGATCAAGAATGAAGACAAATGAGCCTGATATTCTCCTTCTCCTGATATTTGATACGTTAAATGCCTTCAAACGTGCGTTAGTGCGTCGTGCAAGTTGTTACGGTGACGTTGGTACGTCAACTATTTTTAGTTCCTTTATATTTAGTATTTTTACATGTTTTATATAAGTTTTTATATGAGAAATTCAGCAGTACTGTGACCCCAATTCCAAGAAATAAGAATGCTCGCTTTAGATAAATCTTTATCAATCTCTGTAGGATATGCTATTATACTACTAACCTCAACACTAGTAACTAAGTAACTAAGTAACTAAGTAACTTAGAAACTAAGTAACCTAGTAACTAAGTAACCTAGTAACTAAGTAACTTAGTAACTAAGTAACTTAGTAACTTAGTAAGTAGTACTTGACTCACCAGGTGAAAAGGATAATACTTTACAGAAAGTGTCACAACAATAACATGACAAGCAGATGAGATCTTAACATCAACTACATCTCCCATTATCAAACAATTACAATGTTTTCGGAGCTAATTCCGGAACTAATGTTAACTATTATAGCTACTGTACTACATGGTGATTGGTGACCACTGAAACAAGAAGGAACAGTCAAAGGTGACGTAAAGAAATATAAAGGGCAGTTAAATCAGCAGATTGAGTCGGTCATACTCTAGTAGCACCCTGCTACTCCAGTATTAGCCCTCATGAGACTTATGAATTAGATCGGTAGCTGAGCAACTGCAGTGTAGCCATAGCAACAGTGTAGACTTATTAACGTGTACTGTGATTACGTTAAATTCTTTAATTGTCCACATTAAAACTAGTAGTCCACCCTGTACACAATGTGTCAATATTGACAATATGATGTAATCAATAAGAGTTGTTTGGGTTTTCATAAACCTGTTTAAAATTATTATCAACTTTGTCAGAATATGTTAAACATGTTTTAACTGCAACTGGTGTCTTGTTACTTCCACAGTCATTACACTACAAAACACGCAGGACACTGGTGGTAATGTTTAATGTTTCTAACAGTATGTTGGAGAAGTAATGCCCCCCCCTCCCCCGCCCCCCCCCCCCCCCCCCCCCCCCCAGTAATGGTTATCATATCCAGGTTCGAACAAGGGCCGACTTCTGTGCAATCTGTATACAGGTTACAGATTACACAGCTGTATTAGGGAGGAGTTTAAAGTTTTAAACCAGTTTCCGTCCCTTTTAAGAGATTAAAATATTATTATAAGGGTTCTCAGCGTTACCAGTCACCAGCAATAACGTGGTTAACCTTTTTCTGGTGTCATTTTATTTATCTCACAGTCCCAATTTCCCTGTACCGTGAGGTCCAGTAGTGGTGTTACCATGGTAACATTGTGGTGTTACCATGGTAACATTGTGTTGGTGTACCGTGAGGGAAAGTCCCCAAGGTCGGCCAGCCCAGGGAACATCTAAAGTCTAGGCATAGTGAAGAAGGTGAGTAGCAGCAGAGAGAGAGAGAGAGAGAGAGAGAGAGTAGCGGCATTTTTATTAAAAGAGTACAGAGAAATATCCTCTTTAAATTCCTATCAATTATCAGATCCGAGTGTTTGCCAGAACTAATCAGATTAACATAATATAACAGTGTTGTTTGATTGATTCTTCGGGGGTAACTAAACATGAACTTAGAGTTGCAGCTTACTGACTAATTGACAACACATTTCAGAGACATTTTCTTGTAGTAACATTTACAGGATTTATATTTACCTCGGCAATCCGAGTAAGTGGTTTGTAGCAGTATTTGCAGTGTTTCAAGGTTAGTGCAAGTACACACTACTGTTGGCCTGTTCAGTGTTCTCGGTGGTTAAACACTACATCTTTCATGTCAAGTAATTCTCACGGACCAATTTCCTCCAAATAAAGCCATATCCAGTGAGTATAAGTTACAAATTATAACAAACATTGCCCAATCTACTGAAGGAGAGAGAATACTGTTATGAAACGGAATACTTCCGTTAACATATTATGTCGTATACACTCCGTTATAATACATCAGCTGTTGTATAAATCATGTTGCCACGTCCACATATATATTTTCTGTCAGAGCGGCGAGTATTTCAGTATTGTGTATCAGTAACTTGAAGATTTCTATCATAATGTGCGGAATATCTTTTACAAGATACGGCGAGTGGAAAAGTGGGAGGAAATGAAGATGAAATTTGATTACATATATTTCTGTAAGAAGAGAAGTTAAATGTATTGGATAACTCGCTCAATATCTGACCACGCACTGTTTCGATACGATTATGTGTTTCAGGTCTAACTGCGAAGTGACTCTCCGTCAGCTAATTAAATATTTTACTCATGTCTCGTAGCATGAGCATTAGAAATACATGTAGAAATTGTAGATAAGAAGTTGGCACTTAATTAGGAAACAACTACTACTAGTAGTACTACTCAACTATAAACTATACACTGTACTGTATTCCCTCAGGAATACAGCTTGATATCACATGGGAGATAAGTAGAGGAAGTATAACTCGTATAACTAGTGTTACCTTGTAAACTCTAATCTGGGTATTACACTCATCACTTTACAATTTAATTATAGTTATTGTTATTATCTATTTATTATACATCGTTTTTATCAAAAGTGTCTCCTTAACACGGAACTACAGTGAGCGTCTACACATTACCAGATCTAGTTCAGGTTTACAGATGAGACCAGTTGTTCAAAACCTTATAATTACACAAGTTTTCCCTATTTTACACGCCTGTAATAATACTTAGTGTCTGATTATATCTTATTCAGAACACATTGTGTGTAACACGAAGCTTCTTATCTTGTATCGTCCTGTCTGTCCAACTAGAAACTAGTGACGATTGTACTTGTTTAAACTCTATGTTTTTTGTGGAGTTACGGGACATGAATTATTATACAGGAGTGAATTTGCTAAGTCCTTAAAGGATATAGGAAGGAAAGGGCATACAGTTTATACAATATGCTACATCTTTCCCCCCTTTCTTCATGTACCATCTGCTCTACAAACATTCAGAACACACATAAAAATAAAACTAACCAGTATAATTTTTATAATAATATATAACTATTATTTACACGGCATTTCCTGGAGACTAAACTAAACAGTAAGTGTACAGGTGATTGGTCAAGTTCAGACAGCTATAATAGCACGCTAATGTTATATTAATGTCGTTAGAATACCGCGACCAATTCCTCACATACCTTAACTAACATATGTGGGATTCTTTGGATACACAGTGGTGTATAAATAGGTAACAACTGATTTGCTGCATATTTGGGGATCAGGTCAAATCTCCTCAATCAATTGGTAACATAAAATCATGGGTGTAACAGAGGCCATAACATATCCTATAAATTGAGTTATCTGAAATACAGTGTCCTGTGATAATTAAATACAGTGTCCTGTGATAATGATATACATAGAAGTTTTGTCGGGTAGGGTTTCATCAAGCAAATTGATTCTGAATTATAAAATCACATTAGTTTCTGTGTACTAACATATTCAGTTCGGGTGCCGGTAACTTTATGTGATCTACATGAAACGTCTAAGTGCAAGGTTGACTTTCCGTCTGACAATCTAAAGACACTGCTGACTGCAACTGTGAACAATCTGCCACACAACGATTAAGATGACAGATAAGATTCCTATTTAGTAAGAATACTCACATGTGGTTGTGAGGCCTGGACATCATCTACACTCATCAGGTCCAGAAACTGGTGCAGAGGCGGGGTTTTCTCCATTGCTTCATACTTCTCCTTTATCTGAAATAAATTTGTTTGAAGGCAGTACTCTGCTCGAAAAGGAGGATTCTTAACATGTATTTTTGGTGTAACAGTTCTAGAAAGAATTATGAGGCAATCAACCAGTTGTACAGTTAATGTTTAAACTTATTTTATTTATTTTGATATAAAATGTAAACTTTACTCACAGCACTAGGCCTGGTGTCCTTGTAGAATAGAGACTGCTTCTTGTTCACTAACCCTGGACCATTTGCTGGCTCAGATATTTCTATCTCAGTATTTTTTACTAAACACTCGTTCAAAAGTTTCACTTTGTTGTGCAATTTATTTGTTCTATCGACCGTGCTGCAGAATATATTGTGGTTTTAATATCTAAGGTTATTTGGAAATTCAATTCAGTTAGATTTTCAATGATTCGACTAAGAAATATCTCAATTTAAAAAGCTAAAATAAAAGAAAGCTCACTCTTTAGCGATAGTATGTAAATTAGTGAACATCTCATCTGCAAAAGCCGCTATGTCACAGAGCTGCTTCATTACACCTGGGAGTGGGTGAAATTGTAAGAAGTTTTCAGAAACAAGAGAGGGACTACTACTATGTCGGAGCTAAGTCCGATCTACGCCAGAAAACCCCCTCCATATATCCCTGTCCCGCATCAGGGTTCGCAGTTCCTCTTTAGAGTTTGTCCCAACTTCCTTCAGTAACATAGACAAGTAGCTTTGTCTTGGTCGGCCTTGCTGTGCTCTACCGTGCGTAGGTTCCCATAAGACTAAATCACTGGCAAGTAGCTCAGGATGTCGGATGCAGTGTCCCGCCATTTTTAATCTCCTGCTTCGTAACTTGTTTGACAGCCTTGGGAGGCTACCATACAAAGTTATATTGCTGACCTTGTCCTTCCATGAGATACCCAGCACTATACGCAACATCTTTGTGTATGTCCCGTCCAAACTTTTCTCTTGAGCATTTGTCAGTGTCCAGGTTTCTGATCCGTAGAGCAGTACTGATTCACAAGCCGCTATGAACAATCTAATCTTTAGGCTCTTTGACAGTTTGGATTTCCAGATATCCTTCAGTCTATGTAGGGCACCCCACGCTTTTCCCTTTCTAACCCTTATCTCCCTATCTGTGCTCTCAATCCAGGAGCCTAAGCAGATGAAATCATCTACATTTTCTATGGCTTCCCCGGATCGACTTTGTAGGTCGCTAGATTGATCCTCCATATTCAGTGTCATGACCTTGGTCTTGCCTTCGTTTATGTGTAGTCCCACGCTTGCTGCCGCCGATTCTACTCTGAGCAGGAACTCGTTAGCCTTGTCCATGTCCTCAGATATAAGTGCTATATCATCTGCAAAGTCCACATCGGTGATGATCTTGGGCCCCACTCTTCTGCTTTTTCTACGTTCGAGGGTGAGTCCAAGTCGCTCCGCATCATCGCCTATGGCTTGCCTCATACAGTAGTCGATGACTATTGCAAAGAGGTAAGGTGCTAAGGTAGATCACCCTGTAACACACCTGCAAGTATCTCGAACAATTCAGTTTCTCCGTCTGGAGTTAGAACTTTGGCCATTGTCTTCTCGTACATGAGCCGTATAAGCTGCACGATTTTGACTGGAATGCCGTAAGCTTCTAGAATCTTTAGCATTTTCCCACGATGTACACTGTCGAAAGCCTTCTTAAAGTCTATAAATGTCAGAACAGCTGGCAGTTTCCGACTCTTGACACCCTCTATAAGAGAGGGAAACCAATAAAAAACAGAAAATACTTTACTACAGTTAACAGAGAACTGGTTGAATTCAAGTATCTTAAATAAGCTAACCAACAAAGGAGATGTAAGTGGTCTCCTCAAAGTTGTGGGTGTTCTGGGAGGAGGACAACTCCACGGCAGGTCCAGTAATGTGGTTTATCTGACATATTCTGACAGGCTGTACGACACGTCCCTTCAGTGGCATTCTATTACAGGTGCAAACACGCTATTCTTCTGCCATTTCTTGGATTCAGTTCTTGGGAGTAGCTTTTGTCATTTCATTCCATATGCACTGCAAAATGTTGTGATAGTTACCATTACGAATGGGAACAACTCTTCCAAATGCGAAATGAAGACATTTTAACAGTACTTGGTTTCGAGAGCATTATTGTACAATGTACCAACTTAGACAACACGACAATGGCACTATTAGTACACAAGCAGGCAAAGTGTAATGATTTTTCATTTGAATCAAATCAAGAAAATTTCTTGACTTGATTCAAATGAAAATCAGGGGTTATAACATATCAGGGGTTATAAATTCCTCTGGTCATAAGTTTAGGACAAACAAGCATCAGACCAATAGAGTCAATTTGAATTCAAATATTTGACAGATTGATTGTATCTTCAACTGTAATAAGCGACACTAATATTACAACATCTGACCAAAACACTACTTTTTTATTTGAAAATTCAATTAATTATTATATATATAAATCAAGCGTTACATTTCAGCCATGCAAAATTACAATGACATATTTTGATATTCTAATTGATAAATGGTACTGCAATATAAGTTGCTTAATGTTTGTCCGGATGACAACTAACTAAAAAAGAAAAATAAACTTGATTACATAATAATTAATTCGGCTGCACCAACACATAGCAAGAGCCACATTAACGTTGGGGCCGTCTACCAAATTTGAATGACAAACAATAACAAGAAATCAAACATATCTTAAATAATTATAGGAATTTTGTTCGTTACAATTCTGTCACAACTGATAGAAGAAAAATAAGGAAGATAAGCGGATAGGAAATCGGACGGACAGAATTGTAACCAACAAAAAACACATTTCTGAGAATCATAAGACTGACGAGCTAATCTGACCAGACTGTATCGGCAGCCCAGAGGTACTTGATCAGTTCGGCCTTATAAGTAGAAATCCGCTCTGACTGCCGAATACATACTGGTAGACCATTCCATTTCAGCATAGATCTATGAAAATAGCTATTTCGGAAGGCATCCGAGCAGGGCACAGTAGTACTCATGTAAGTTGAAGTATCCGACCTATCAATTATTTGAGCATTGTGCCTAGTGTATCGGGTGCCCTCTGAACAGCTCACAGCATAGGACTATATAAGTAGGGAGCGAAACTGGAATTATGCTATTCACTATTTTATAGAAGGTCATAAGATCGTTATAAATAAACTTCTGTTTCACAGGGAGAATATTTAATTTCTTTTGCTCTGTAGCAAGTTTATCGTCATAATAACTGGAGTAAGGTTCACCATTGATCCATTTAATGGTCCTCTTTTGGATAGCAACAAACTGTTCAAGATTACTTGCAGTTTGAGGGGACCATATGACAGAACAATGTTCAAATTTAGACTTGACATACGTTGCATGCCACTTTTCTCTGATATTGGGATACGAAACATGTATCAAATATAGACCTAATTAACGGTAAATAGAACGATCTTTTCTGCCTTTTGTCTGTAGTGAAATGACATGTTCTCCTAAGTAGTTCAAGTCCGGAGTTAGCTTTGGAAACAAGCGCTTTACATTGTGCTCCCCAATTAAACCTAGAGTTTATTTGTCATACGTTGTATGACTCGCCGCGCACGAAGTGCGCGGCTCCCCCTGTAGCTATAGTGAAGCGACCGTGGTAGTAGAAGCTCTTACGGGCATTGTCTGCTCGATACGCTAGGGACCCCAGATACACCTTTCTGGACGTATTTTTGACCGTAGAATCGATTAAAAGTGGTTTCGAGATGATTGGACTGAGTTTACGCGGGTAAAATCGGAAAAACGATTTTTGGGCAAAAAATAGGCCAAAAAACCATGTTTTTTGATATTTTGAGCAAGTTAATTTTGTTGGCATGTCGGCAAAACTTGCGTGGAAAAAGCTAAAATACAGCCGCACAAGATGGTTTAAAAATTTTTAAAATCCCTCTATTTTTACGCGGGCAAAAAACCCAAAAAGTGGTAAAAATTTTAACTTTTTTTGCTTGAAGTTTGAATAATTTTTTGCAGTTGTATTAAATCAACCCAAAAATAGTCACATCGTGTTTGCCTTAATTTTTCCTTTCCGAGAAGTACCCACTTCATATACTTTATCGAAGTTTGAATATTGTCACTCCGCAAGCTTTTTTGCCAAATTTTCGACGTGCACTACGCGCAAAAGCATTTAGTTGTTATCAATTGGCACCCGCGCGTTCATCATAAATTTCAAACAGCTATAACTTAGCGAGATTATGTCCGTTCTAGCTCATATTTTCACACTAAATAGAAAATAATGTGATCTTATTGCTGACAAAATATGAATATAATTACTCTATTTGCCTTAGAGTAATAGACTGTCAAAGTTTAAAACGCGCATTGGTATAGCACGTGACTAATAACGCCAAATTTATACTTCTTAACATATTATCGATCCTTAGACATCATACTATTGTGTCCAATTAGCGGTTAGGTTTCTAAACTCGTAGCAAAAAACACGTCTTTTTGCCCGTAAGAGCCTCTACTATGGGTAGGCGGTGCACGATAAAAATAAACTTGCTCGGATTTTCAAAATTTTTGTACCATCGTTTTCTAGAGACTGTGAGAATTTTCACAGTAGCAAATTTATCATACCTTTTTGGAATGATCAGTGAATTTCGCCTAGGTGCCATATTTGATAGTGCGCGGCTTTTGGAGCAAAATTAGGTGTAAAAGTCGCGTAATTTGACGAAATTCGTTGATTTTTGTCGTATTATTCTGTCATATCGTCGGTTCCTGAACATAAATCATGCTGAAAATTTGTCAGAACCTTCCAATCATACTTAACTACCGAACCTAATTTAGTTGGGAGAGATTGGCCTTGATTAAGAGGTCTAAAAATGACAAAATAGGTATAAATTCGTTGATAACTCAAATTCTGAGCATCGAAATTGCTCAAACTAAATTAGGTTCAGTAGAACATAAGTGTTTACGTAAGCTGACCAAATTTCAACAAAATTGTTATATGGGAAGTATAATAACTTTTCGATTGTTTCCAAAATAATGTGCTGGCCGAAATAAGAGCAAAAAAACCATTCAATGGTCAGCGCGCGCGTCTTATTGTCAATGGCGCACTGCCTACTATGGGGGTCACCGCGTGATACAAGAGTTTATTGCGACTCCTAAATCTGACTGAGACCCTGTCACGTCCAATTTTGACTGTTATGACTATGTTGTATGTGTTATACTTATAATAAGTGTACCGTGATCGTGATATAATAATGACACTTATACTGTACGAATAACCCGGGCTTTCGATTAATTAATCGGGAAGTATTTAAACTTCAGAATAACCAATAAAAAACATCCGCTGCCGACAATTTAAACTGTTTTAATTTAACAATTACAAAAGCAAAAAAGCAATTAACAGTTTAACATTTATTCGAAACGATAAATTGGACTTAATGGGTGATACTCGTAAAATATTTGTTCCAAATATTACCGTCCAAATTTGTAGCGCGATGCACTACTGGGTCACGCGCGCATCAAATAATGCTTCTTGCAACCACCGAGCTGCGAAGGATTGACATCGTGCTGCACTGCGAAGCTGAAGGATTGACATCGTGAATCAACGTCCAAGTATATAGGACCATCGACGAGTCCAACTCGATGCGCGCCCTGGTAGGTTATAAACCTACAAATTGGACCGGGCACAACTATTATATAACGAGCCCACGTCGATCTATTCTACTTCAAATAACAATAACTTGTTATACGTTGTATGACCCGCCGCGCACGAGTGCGCGGCTCCCCTGTATCGTAGAAACTCTAGTGAAGCGACAGTGGGGGTCACCACGTGATACAAACAATAACACCCGCCGCCCGTTAATGTTATGTTACTTTGAATTTGATTGCTTAATTAACCCTTAATTGACGATGTCAATTCATCGCAGCTCGGCGCGGCACAGTAGCGCATCTCGCCGATCTAGCTGTGAGAAGCCTCATTGAGTGCGCGGCGCGGCACAGTAACGCATCGCGCTACAACTTAACCCTAATTAAATCCTAACCCTGTAACGGCTAATCTTGACTTTAACCTATCATTAACTATTTATATACTGAGATTGCTGATCGGATGGGTCCATTTTATTTTATTTTTTGTTTTATAGTTATAGTGTTTCCCCTTCGCGCGCGATGTTTATGTTACTTGTTTGTTGTTACTATAAAATTCAGCTCATAATTATAAACAGCAAATAGATTTGCAAGAAGAAATTAAAAAAACGTGCTATGCCGGCGCGTGCTACTTTGAAGAAATTTAGACGAGTAACAATGCATGTAACATCCGTCAAGCTTCTTTCACTCTGCAGGAAATTGAAACTTGAAAAGATCCCGCCGAGCACAGGGCCGGACTTGTGTGCCAGTAGGCTTCAGTACCACGCAGCCTTTTTAATCTAAGGAAAGAATTTGTCTCTGAGCCATAGTTAATTATTATTTCGGCCCGGCCTCGGATTTTTCAAAACCCGAGCAAGTTTATTTTTACTGGGCCGCGCTCAGCCTGACATTCTACCGGCCTAATCTCTATATGTTTATGAACATGATAGCCTGAGGTCCCCAGGTAAGTTTATTTTTATCGTGCACCTACAACTACAATTCCATAATTAAGCTTGGAGGACTTTGCCGCTTCGACGCGCCGCGCGCAAACTAGCATTTTGCTTCGCATCGTCGATCGTTGCTTGACATACGTTGCATGCCACTTTTCGCGCGCGAAGCGCGCGCCGCCGAAGGCGGAATATAATAATATCTCTGATATTTGGATACGAAACATGTATCAAATCGTTGCTTTGTAGCGCGATGCGTTACTGTGCCGCGCCGCGCACTCAATAAGGCGCACTCAACAAGGCTTCTTTCTTTAGATCGGCAAGATGCGCTACTGTGCCGCGCCGAGCTGAGATGAATTGACATCGTCAATTAATCGTTGCTCTGCTTCGCAGAGTGCAGAGCAACGCGCGATCTCGATGGGTTGACACCGTTAATCAAGAATTATACATAAGTATAACTGTTTATAACACATAAATTACCTGTATTATTATGCTGCGATTTGAAATCAGAGA